GGATTCGAAGGCTGAAATGTTTCTGGTGACATTAAGTTGTAGAGCAGGCAGCTCATGTAAAGCATAAACCGGGATGTGAATCTGTAGCTCCAAAATAGCCCCTTTCTCATAGAATTATAGAATCCCTACAGGGTGAAAGCAGGCCATTTGGCCCATTGAGCCCACACTGACCCTCCGAAGTGCATCCCTCCCAGATCTACTCCCCCCCACCATTCAAATATCACCTCCGTCCCCCCAACTATCACCGTAACCCTGCATCTCCCACGGCTAACCCACCTAGCCTGGACATCCTTGGACTCTATGGGTAAGTCAGCATGGCCAATCCACCGAGCCTGCATATCTTTGGACTGTGGGAGGAAACCGGAGCATCCAGAAGAAACACACGCAGATACAGGGAGAGTGTGCCAACTCTACATGGTCGCTCGAGGGTGGAATCGAACCAGTGTCCCTGGCACTTTGAGGCAGCAATGCTAACAAGAGAGCCACTGTGCCGCAGGAGGTTTAGAAAAGAATTGAGAAAAAGATTTTTCACTCACAAGGCTGTAAGTAGCCGAAACTAATGGCCTAAAAAGGGTGATACACACTGGAACCCTCAAGACATTTAGGAACTACTTAGATGAATTCTTGAAATACCATTCATATACAAGGCTATGGGCCAACTTCCAAAAAAAAAAAAAATGGGATTACAGCAGAAGGATATTTGATAAACAGCACAGACATGATGGGCTGAAGGCCATTTTGGGTGCTGTAAAAGCTCTATGACAAGCATTAAAGATTATTTGATCTGCTGCTGAGAGTGGAGACAAGGAAATTTTCATCAGGTTTCTGTTTGAATATCTTGTACTTAGCACCTTGCCTCAAACGTAGTTTACTGTCTCACCAAAAAGACTGCATCTTCAGTGAGTACATCCTTCAATTGACACTGGAGCAACTGTCTAGATTATACTGAACTGGTTGCCGAGTGATACGCACAGCAAATGGATGAACATCCTATTAATATTTTAAGTACATTTTCTATGCAAATAAATCAGTTATCAAATTAACAGTAGCTCACAGTGGCAGAGGTTCAAATCCGTGCCAATTGTCACTACAGGCAACCAATGTTACACTTCATTGAGCAAGACAAATATCGATCTTCAGTTCATCCAATGTTACTTTTGTGGAGGCACTAATCTACTTTAAGTGCTAGGAAATCACGCTTTCTACCCAGTAATCATGCTACACTCCTTTAAAGTAAATACTGCAATGACATTTGGTGACAAGTGTCCAAGCTCCTTAAAATCCAAATGAGCGTTGGACATACAACACAGAATCGTCTCTGACATTCAAGCAAATCCTTCTGATCTATCATTAGTAACTTGACCTTTAAAGGTCATGTACATCTTCCAAATTGTGACGTGTTGAGTGGAAGATAGTGTAGGCCTAATACTTACCACACACGTATGTACATGCACACAGACACGTACATATATACACACTAACATGCATAGCTAATCACTTGACATTTCATGATAGCTCAAAATCAAGGACCATCTCCAGAGCATCACACTGACTGAGCAATTGCCTTAATGATATGTTTTCACTGGAGTTCTCATCCAGTAAAGATTTGGACAATCTCGAATGTTCCTCAAATGTTTAAGTAATTAGAGAAGCAGAAGTGCGGAGAATGTAAAGAAACCCACCAGACTGTTCTTAATGAAATACTAACACAGAGTGAATGCTGTCTCTGATAATAACTTGGATGAATGGAAAATAAACAAACAGTTAATCAGTGCTGAAGAAGGGTCACTGGACCCGAGCCGTTAACTCTGATTTCTCTCCACAGATGCTGCCAGACCTGCTCATCTTTTCTAGCAATTTCTGTTTTTCAGCATCCACAGTTCTGGGTTTTCATTTTATTTAAACGGTTAGTTCATCTAATTTTCCTGGAATACATATGACTAGGGAGTTAGTTTTTCTACTTTTCTTGGAATACATACCACCAGGGATACAACTAATAAGTTTTGCACAAATCAGCCTTACTGTTTTGGTGTCAGATTTCCAGTGACCACAGTGCTTTTAGTTTAGTCTTGATTATAATATACTTACCGTCCTTGTGATGTTGCTCACCAATAATCCCGGTCCAAAGTAACTTCAAATTTGATTGCTAATTTGTTCTTTCGATTAAGGGGCTTCATTTGAAACAAATCAATTGCAGTGACCTTTGAATTACAGGAGGTCAAAGAACTGTTATAACTGCTTCTAAATGGTAGGTTCCAGCTGAAATGATGGCTTTGTCTTTTTACTGGACTTTTCTCTTCTATCATTAACTATTGGGCAGTATTCCCTTTAAGATGAATATCTGTACAGTCACACAACAATCCACCAAGTACCACAGACTTCAATATTACAGCTGTGCACACCATGATGGTTAAATGTGGTTTTCTGCCACTTCAACCCATAAACAGAGAACTGGTAGACTCCTCAAAGACAGGAAATTAACAGAGGAGAGCTAAAGCCCGAGTTGATTAATCAGGTGAACTTACAGCCACAATTCACTCAGATCAGTTTCTGAAGTCTGAAGCTATCACTCAGCACTTGCCTTTCCTGCAAACAATTCATTGTTTCCTTCCATCTCTGACCTCTGTGTTACAGTTCTTCCAGCTGACAGCCAGTGTTTAGGAGATGGAAGCAATGAGTTGAAAGAAGTGACAAGCTGGAGACTGAAAAAGGCCTAGTTTAACAAATGAGTAAATTACTACAATTTAGTAAGTTGAGAGCTGTCAAATTAGTAAAAGTTACTGGAAGAATTTTTAGGTCATTTGATCAAGTCATTCTGCTACAGTTGGTTTTGCAGGATATTGAAGGGTGATTGATCCCAAAGACATTTCATGCATTAAAAACCAAAAGCATTTCCAAGAAGTTCATGATTTGGATTCCAGCCCAAATCACCATATCACAATGCAAAAGATTCTTGAGGCTTTCTCAAAGGCCATTTCAATCATGCATATTTCCAAATACTACCTTTTTCCCAATTCACCTTTGTACACATTCAAAGAGGCTGTTTACTTTAAAAATTTTGAAATAATAAACCAGTTCACTAAATTCAATCTTTTCAAATTAAAAAAAAAGCTGTACTGGAATAAATGCCACCCAAGTCAACAGACTTTTCCCCTGGGCTTCCAATGTGGCAGCTTACACAGTTATAAGGATAGGCCTCTTGAACAGAAGTGGCAAATGTTAAGTTGCAGGGTTCCCTCCCACAGATTGACTGATGGGTTCAGGCTCTAAACTGCCAAAGAAATTTGCAGACCACAAAATTTGCTTAAAATGTGAAAACAGGTGCAGAGATTACCATGCCAAATTACCACAAGGCCATTGCTTCCCTTGTGGGTGTAGACAGTTTGTAAAATTTGTTCAACACTGTTGGGTGGCTGCACAGCTAAACAGGGGTGAAAAATGGTGGGAGAGTAGCAGTGATTAAAGTTAGCCAGTACTACTTAAAGATACCTTGCATCTATTACTTTCTGGCTGCATACGAGAGTAGGAAAAATACTGAACTATGGCACATACAAAGAGAAGGCTACACAAATCTCTGCAATGCATTGTCAGAATTTGGTCTGAGAAGTATGGAGGAAAATTGTCAATTGACAAGAGTCCAAAGGCCCTTAGAACAAATACTCAGCAGACAGTGGGTGCAGATGATTGTGGCACTCTATGCCAGGCGTCTTGGCCCTGAGAATCTGAGTGCAGTCCTGCAAGATGTTCAATGATCTCCCATTAGTGGTCAGGGACAGTACAAGCATCTCCTACCCAACAACTGTACAATTAGCCCCTCAAATGCTTGATGATCCACACCTACATTACTCAAGAACCAATTATTTTCATTTCATCACAAGTAGGTAAGAGGCTGGAATCCTAAAGAATATCTATCACCTACACATGTATCAAAACAACTTACCATCATTTCCACAATAACACTTCCAGACTTCAACAATGTAGCAGATGCATAGGAACATCACCACGTGCAAGATACCCTCTAGCACACACTATCTTAATTTGGAACTGTATCACTGCCCCTTCATTGTCACTGTGCTCCTTGCATAATAGCACTGTGGGCACATGTACACTTCACGAACTTACAATGGTTCAAAAAGGAGGATTGCCATCACACTTGAGTAGTTAATGATAGGCAACAAATGCCAGTCTAGCAAGTGATGCCCACATCCGATGAACAAATAAAAAAAGTTTGTTAAAATAATGGACTTCCTATTTTAGAAATATTAGGCCTTTATAGTGTCTGGTTTAAGTTTTATGAAGTTATAGATATATCTGTGGAACTGTGTTGTCTTTTAAGCAGACAGGGCTTCTAGGTCCGATTGACTGAAATGTAGGAACTTGCTCACTGTTTCAGGATAACAGTAGCAATTAATTATACTGATTATGAACAATCTGTAACTAAGACCATAACTGCTTAGTTAGAAAATTGATACGGGATGAGATGAATGATGCCAACATGAGTTTGCAATGCCTCATTTTAAACTCATGCTCAGCAAGAATGATGATGAGAAAGTAACACCCAGTTTTTAATGCAGCTTCTTTTTCTTGCTATTCTAGTATTAATGTTCATTAATGATAAATACTCTTTAACAAATATAGACAAGAGGCATTTTAGCCCATGCTCCACAGTCTCCCTCAATCCATCTCCAGAAACATGGGTGATTATCTCTGTTACCTTAAACATCTTCAATGACAAGTTGCAGTGCAAGTATCTCAAGTTTTGTGTCAAAAAATAATTGCTTAATACTTGTGTCTTCTTTGTCTTGGTAGTGGTGGGGTAGGGAAGAGAAGATTTCCCTGAAAGCAGCTATATGCTGAAAAGATTTGTAATTTTACCATTCTAACACTTGTCACTGCAGTGTTAAGCTTTCGCCCAGGCAAACTTCTTCAATTGAAAAGGTCACTTCAGAGCAATATCTCCATGGCTCTTTATTGTAGGCATATTAGAACACTGCTCTTACCCTCCTTCAAAAATCTTAATTCTAGTTGGTTCCAGTCTCTTGGGTGTTGATGTTTCATCTTCATGTTTCTCCCTCCTTTCTTCTTCCTTCTCTATTTTGCAGACTTCTTTTCTACCATCACCAGGAAGCGGGGTAGGTATACGAATCTGTGCAGGAAGATTTGAATTGCATAATTAGTATAATTGTGGGTAATATGTTTGATATCAGCACAGAGGGGTCTGGGAGTAATTGGACAGTTAATGTCCAAACAGACAATTAAAAGATATGTTAATGTAGTGGTAATGTCACTGAACCAGTACATCAAGAGGCCCAGGCTAATTCTCAAGGTTCAAATTCCATGGCAATTGGTGGAATTTAATTTTAATTAATAAAGTCTAGAATTGAATGCTAGTCTCACTAATGATGATCATGAAACCATCATTGATTGTTGTAAAAACCTAGCTGCTTCATTAATGCCTTGAGAGAAGGCAATCTACTGGCAAACATGTGAATGAAGATCCATAGCAATGTGACTGACTCTTCACTGTCCTCTGGAACGTCCTAGCAAGCCACTTAATTCAAGGACAACAGGTATGAACAACAAATATTGCCCTCATCTGCAATGTCCCCATCCCATGAAAGAAACGAAAGCAAACATTTGGTAAATTTTAGTCAAAATAGTGGAATACCAGTCACCAGAAGTTAAGGTAAATGCATTGGTTAGGCCTCACTTAGAGCTGTGTGTTCAACAGCAAACACCCAGTCACTGAAAATTAAATATATGCATTAACAAGGCTCCACCATGCATTGGGAAGATATCGGGTGCATTGACTTTGAGGTTGTGGAAAAGCCAACTTATGTCTAAGTCAGTGGCCAGAAAAAGGGCTGGAATTTGTGGGGAGATTATGGAGCTTTTTTTAAAAAAAAAACACATTCATTGATGTGGTGTGTACACTGCTGGATGCGTCAGCATTTATTGCCCATCTCTGGCTGCTTTTGAGAAAGTCATGGTAAGCTGCCTTCGGGAAGTTGATTACTCATTGTGGAATTCCCAGTCTCTGATGCGCTCCTGAAGCCACTGTATTTACACGGTTAGTCTAGTTCAGTTTGTGGTCAATGGAAGCTCTCAGGATGTTGATACAGGGATTCAATGACGGATATACCATTAGAAGACAAGTGGCAATAATTAGGCTGTCTCTTGTTGGAAATGGTCATTGCCTGGCACTTGTGCAGCATGAATTTTATTTGCAACTTGTCAGCCCAAGCCCAAATACTATCCAGATCTTGTTACATTTGCTCACATACTGCTTCAGTATCATCAGTCATGAACGGTGCTGAGCACTGCGCAGTCAGCAGCAAACATCTTCATTTATGACCTTTTGATGGTCCTGGCATAACCTCCTGCATTTTTCTTTGAACCAGGGTTGATAACCCAGCTTGATGGTTGAGGGGGCTATGCCAGGCCATGAAGTTGCAGATTGTGCCAGAGTGGGATTCTGCTGATGGCCTACAGTGCCTCATGGGTGCCCACTCTTGACTTAGTAGATCTATTTGAAGTCTATCATTCAGCACAGTGGTAGTGGTATACAACATAGTGGAAAGTAGCTTCAATGAAGATGAAACTTCATCTCAGTCACAAGGACTATGCAATGGTCACTCCAGTCAATACTGTCATGGACAGATGCATCTAGAGCAGGTGAGGATGATATCAAGTATGTTTTTCTTCTTCATTTCTTTGAGTACTGCCACACCCAGTATAGCTGCTATGCCTTTTAAGACTCACCCTGCTCGGTCAGTAGTGATGCTATTGAGCTACTCACATGATGGACATTGAAGTTTCCACTGAAAGTACATTTTGTGTCTTCACCATCCTCTGTGCTCTCTGCAAAGTATGCTCAACATGGAAGAACATTGATCCTAGGGGAGGGGAGGTTGTGGTATGTGGTAATCAGCAGAAGGCTACCTTGCCCATGTTTGATCTGATGCAACGAGCTTTCATGGCGTCCGAAGTCAATGTTAAGAACTTCCAGGGCAACTCCCTTCTGACTGTCTACCCTCTGCTGGGCCTGTCATTCTGATGGGACAAGACATAACCACGACAGTGATAGTATTTATTGGGATATGGTCTGCAAGGTGTGATTCTGAGAGAATGCCTGTTGCTTGAATAACTTGTAAATATTTGTTCAGAACAAAATCAGTAAAGTTCACAGGTTTTATGAGAGAAAGAAAAAAAGTGAATTTTGTGCAAGTCTCAATTACAAAAGATCTATGCTTCTTTTTAAAGCCCATGCAAATTATGTGGCTTACAGCTGTCCATTTGCTGAATATTTACATCTATTCCTCTTAATGGAGCTATTAGCCACACAGTGTTAAAACCAAAGCTGCGTCCCACGTTAGCCTTACCTCGCTAACTCGGAGCTTCCTTGTGTTCGATGGGACCAGTTTTCCTGTCTCTCGCCGTGGAACTGCTGCCATGGTGTAGATTTCCTTGCTGGTTTTCTGCTTTGATCTCAGGAGTGCAAGGCTTAGCTTGGTTGACATGCCAGGTAGGTTGGGATTGTACAAGCTGATGCACCAACTAGCATACACCGAAGATCTTCGGTCAGTTTGCTGCATGGGATTTGGTTTGGTGTACTTCAGGTAGCACCAACTGACATTAGTGGTTGTATGGAGGCTCGGGAAGTGCAGTACCTGCTGGATATCACTAACCTCTGTCAGAAGGGCGCTGGGCTTTGCAGGGCTAGGACTAGTGGGTGGCTCAGGTAAAGTGCTGGTGGTAGATTGCTGAAGCTCTTGCACATGAACAGGGGCTCTCTCTTGGACAGTCTCCTGGGAATCTTCCTTCTTCACAGGCCCTAAAAGCAGTTTACTTCTGTATTGGTGTCCGGGCCAAGGTTTGTATACTTCCGACGGCCCAGGTGACTGAAGGGGGAACTGTGGGAGGGGTAGAGTCTGCTTTGCACCGGAATCCCACTCTTGGGAGGTTTGAGTAGATGAGGCCTTGGACTCACCCAGTTGTTGTTTTGCCAGCTGAGGTTTCTGTAGTCTTGTAGCATCCTCTGCCCTTGCATGCATTGCACTTAAATGTTTAACTGGTTCAGTGCTCTCTTCAGATTCCTCTTCAATCTCTTCCTCCTTCACACGCTTCTGTTGTTGGGTCTCCATGGTCAGTTCTAAGCTACCTGCTGGAGACAACATTCGTTTGCTTCCCCCAATGGTGGTCTGATAACTATCTGTGCCACACATGCCCTCTGTTGGTGAGGTGAGTGGTATATAACCCTTTCTTTCTGTCATGGGTAATGGAATTCTTAAGTATGGCGATTGGAACAAATCTCTATGGTGGCCAGCAATCATCTGTGACAAATCGAGCCCTATCCCCTGCATTGCTGCAGTACATACAAGGGTACCTTTGGGTTTGCTATCTTCCACTCTGCAAATGACCACTGCAGGAGGACTTTCTGCTGACTGCGTCACCAACATCTGTGACAGAGTTGTGTACATGGCACTGCCGTAGGTTGGCATATGGGTCTGGACTCTGACGGGCACCACAAGCGACACCACAGGCTGCAGGAGCTCGGGAAATTCAGTGACTGCGGGCTGCGATGTTGCTAACGATGCAGTGCCTGGAGAGATGGCTGAAGAGAGGACTGCACCAGCTGAACTGTACTCGGACTGCGAAGGGAAAGGTGGCGAGGAAGAAGGAACACGGATCGGGGGAGACAGATGCGACGTGAGCTTTGCCTCCCTGAAATGACCACCAGTTTCTGCTTGCAGCTGATAGGCCAGCTGCGAGTGCAATGGCAGGTAGGCAGCTTGTGAAGTGGACGAGGGAGCCAATCGCTGTCTGTGCAGTAGCGACGAAGGATGAACAGGCAACTCAACAGGCTGTTGTAGAAGCTGTTGTGCAGCCTGCAACTGGGCTGGTTGAATGGACAGCTGTGGCGATGGAAACAGAGGATAAGGGATGTGAGGCAGAGCTACAGGAGTAGAAAGCACCTCTGGCATCACCGGTGATGGCAGCAGTGATGGTATCTGCCCTTGTTGCTGAAGATGGTGCTGAGCCGGGAAAGGAGAGAGCTGCTGCTGCAGGTATTGCTTCTGTTGTGGCACTGCTTGTGGTAATGGCTGCTGAAACGCTTGGAAGGCCTCGGTTGGTGGCTGGGTATAAAACAGTTGGGCAGCATCAGATGGCAGCTGGGAAACACTCGGCTGGCAGGAGTGAGGCAATGGCGGAGGAGGAGGGGAAGAACGATAAAGAGAACTTGGCCCATGAGCAGAAGACATGCCAGGACTGTGGACTTGTTCGAGTTTCTCTTGCTTTGAGCTGGATTTGGCCTCTTGCTCAGATTCGCCGTAGCCACTCAATGAGGTCTGGCGCACCAAGAAACACCTTCTCCGCTCTTTCAAAGGGGAGGCCAGCTTCAAGCTGGAGGACGAATCGGAAGACAGGCTCCCATAATCAAACGACTTGCTGCGAGCTTCAGATGCTTCTGAAGGATGCTGTCCACTGGAGGCTTGTTCGGATGAGGACCGCCTCATTTCACGTTGGTGATGGTAGTGAGCGGGCACCGTCAGCATGTGAGAGCCCAGGGGCCTGGCATGGATCTCCGACAGTGGCCCAGCCACTTCCTTTAACAAGGAGGCTTCTGGTGGTTTACAATGCTCTTCCCTTTCAAATGATGCTGAGCGGCTGGAACCATGGGAGATACTGCTCTCTTGACTCGGGCTCCTCGCCAGCGTGACGGACTCAAAACTCGATTCTCCCGAAGACTGCGACATCTCAGCCAGGCGTAACCTCTTCTTTTTGGGTGGCAGCTTCTCAGTTGGAAACTGCGAAAGGGTCTGACTTCTCTGGGGCCACTGGAACTCCTCAGGAGCCCTTTCTGGCTCTTTGGTGGCCACCTCTTTGTCCCTCTCCGATTTTTCCGGCTCCTCGGTCACAAGGATTTCAGGGACTTGGATTTTGCGCTGGCGGACCAGTCGGGCTTGTAAGGGATGGTGATGATGGCGAGGATGTTGAGGGGCAGAGTGCCAAGCTAACGCTGGTTCTGCCCCCACTGATTGTGGAGGATACTCAACGGACAGGCTTTCTTGGGAACTCACGCTGCTGAGGTGCTCAAGAGATTCTGATTTTTCGAACGAACTGGGCCTGCTGAGAGCGTTGGTGTGCTGGATTACTGAGATTTCTTTTGCAGTTGCTCTTTTGCTGCCACTCTCTGAACCCAGGGCCTGAGGTTCAGTCGACATAGGCCCAGCTCTGATGCCCGACTCCAAACCCACTTCCATGGCTTCACTTTTGGGTCCAGGATGGGTCAATCCTGAGGGACTGCCGGCAGTCTGAGATGACAGAGGTGCCGAACTGGGGGAGGGCACGGCCCCAACACTGGATGGCACGCTGGGCGCCGCAATGGAGGAGGAGGCGGTGGCGGCTGATCGACTGCTGTAGTCACCCGGCGGTTCCTCATCATCCCCAAGGCTCTTCTCTTTCCTCCTCTTCCTTGCCGGTGTGAGCTCGAGCGATGGGCGTAGCTTGTAGTGCACCATCTGTGGCTGCATATCATGAGGTAGAGCTCCATGTTGGCTTTCTCGAGGAACGTGCGCCAGGTACGGCCGGGACCTTGGGGCGTGCAGTTCCGAGCAGTAATACTTCTTGTGCGTCTCATAGTTGTTCCGTTTACGGTACCGGGCCCCACAGATGTCACACTCGTACATCAGCCCCTTCACCCGGGAGCCTCTCTTGGTCTTTTTGGTGGGATCGCCCTCTGCAGGCTCCTGCTCCTCACCCGACCTGCTGGGCGGCGCCTGCATCTCTTTGGCCAAATAGCCGCCTTCCTCCGTCTGGTACTCCATGCCAGAGGGCAACTCGATGGCCTTCTGCCTCTTCAGCATGCGGTGCTGGGAGATGAGCCCGTGGCTCTGGCTGTAGACCTGCTCAGGGTCAGCCATCCTGTCATCGAAGGAGTAGCTTCCCTTGAATGTTTGTGGAAAGCAGGCACTGCCTGCAGAAGGCATGGAGTTGCTCCTGGTCAGAGGCACTGTTTCGGTGGTACTGTGGACATGGCGTGCCGCTGAGAACGGGTGTCTACTGGGGTCGGAGCCCAGCGGCTTTAGGTCGAACTGGAAAGATTCCCTGGAGGTACTTGGCTTTGGAGACTCAATGCTACCGCGTCTGGACAGTGAGGTTCTACGAGGCTTGACGCTGTCAATTTGACTGGTGTCCACCACCGCCTCGTTGATGGTGATGAGCTTGGTGATGTGTTCAATGACGTTCTGTTCCATTTGGGCCTTGGGCAGGGAAAACGAAAGGCCACTGGGTTTGTCTTCCAAGGCCATCTGCTGCGTCCTCTGGGTGGCACTCGCTGCTATCATGGATGTTTTCTGACCGTACCGGCCATACTTGCCGAGGATGATCTCGGCGTAGGACTTTGCGCTGGTCTGGGGAGGGCTGATTTGCAGCTCTGCGCTATCCGAGCGGGAGAAGTAACCTGACTCTGTGCTCCCTTTGCTCCCAGGACTCAGGAAAGTGTTGGACTGTTCGTCGGCCAGCGCCTTCCTCCTTTCACTCAGCCGTAGCGCCAGTTTTTGCTTGATGGTGTGAGAGTCTTCGGGCTTGTGGCTGAAGGAAAGGTCAAGGGAGGAGGACTCAGAGGCCTGCGAGCCCTCCTCCAGAGATGGCGTCTCATTCTGCTGCGCTAACGTGAAGGTGGATCGCCGGGGGCTCGGTTCCTGGGCAGCAAGGGAGCTGGAACTCGGAATGTGCTTGTGCTTGGGGGGCAGGTCAGTGAGCGGGTGGGCGGACATGGCCGTGGTCTCATCCTCCGAATCGGTGCTTTCGTCCCCCTCGGTGTGCTCCTCCGGCTCGTCCCCGCTCAGTTTCTCCATCTCCAGGGCAGAGGCACCTTCAAACATCTCACCCTTGGCACCCGGCACCAGCCCCGCTTTGAGCTTGTGAGCATGGGATTTGCGATGCTTATACAAGTTGCTTTTGGTCTTGAACGAGAAGCCGCAGGAGTGGCAAGGGTATGGGCGCTCACCGGTGTGGGACCTGATGTGCTTCTGCAGCACGCTGGGCTTGGCGCACGGCCGCCCACAGAAATGGCAGATGTACTTGCCGGGCTTTTGCGGTTTCCTCTCCTTCCTGGGCGCCTCGTCTTGCTTCGGGGCCACCTGGTGACCATAGGCATGGTCCTCTTTGGGGGGACAGCGGGAGGGGAGAAGGTGCCCACCGTGCGAGGGAAGCCCGCTGTGGACGAAAGAGCCTGATGCCACAGGGCCCCGAGGGTCAAACAGCTGCCAGGAGCGTCTCTCCAGACTGAGTTCGGGTTTTACCGGGGCCATGAACGCTGGGGGCATGGGCTGCTGCCGGAGCTGGGCTGGGACGTGCTGCGGGTGCTCGAAGGAATAAGCGCCGGTGTGGGGTTTGGGCTGGTCGTGCGCTGGGGTCTGGGGGTGGGCCCGCTCCCCTGTGGAAAGCTGCAGCGGGGCTGAGAAACACGGTGGGGGAGGGACAATGTCACCACCGAGGCTTCCTGGAGGATGGAGCTGGCTTGGTTGGTAGGCAACGGTGGACCTTACACTGGAGGGAGAAACGTCACCCGTGCTCGATGTTCTACAAGGGCTCTGCTCGACCCTTCCTGTACATTTCTGGCGGGCACTGCTTGGCTCAGGATCCATGACCTTCAAGTGCTATAGCGTTGGAGCTTGGCAGGATTCATTTGCTAAACCTTGTGTCTTTCAGAAAAACAACAAAACCCCTGCGCTGCTCACATGTGTCGAGAATGTTCCAACAGTTTATTTTGTTACGTTGCTGATAGAAGTGTTCCTGCTTGGTAACTGATGCAAAGCAAAAGGGACATTTATTGAAAGTTCACTTCATGGTGAGTTCCTTTGAAGGCAATTATCAATCGTATGCGACTTCGAGATTGTCATTCCAAACCATTTTCCTGAAATATTCTTCACAGCTTCTGTTTTCTTCCATTATAGCTTGGAGTTGACTGTATTCCTTCATCAAAAACACAAAAGGACAGTAAGTACAACATGCATTTGTACTGCACTTGTGTAAAATATTCCAAGGCATTGTGTGAAAATTTGACTCATCAAGACTTGAAGAGCTATTAATGCAAGTGGCAAAAAGCTTGGTCAAACAATTAGGTGCAAAAGGGCATCTGAAGGGAAGTGAAAAGAAAAGTGATATTTACAGAGAGAATTTGGGGTCAAGGCATCTAAATGCAATGTCACCAATGGTGCATCAATGAAAATGGGGGGCGGGGGGGTGATGAGCAAGAAACCAAACTGCTTTTTGCATGCCTCAGCAACTGCTCAGCCAAATGCAAGCCTTCTAAACAAAAACTACTGGCTGCTAGATCCCTTGCCTAAGGTTTCCTAGACATTTTATTTTTGGGAAGGATTTTGCCATGGAAACAATCCTGAAAAATGAAAATGGAAAAGAAGTCAATGATTCATGCCAAGTTGGTTTGACCTGAGCTCTTGCTTATAAAATACTGTCTTCTGGAGCGTCAGGTAAAAGGTGCCTAGTGCCCCACACTGAATATTACCCCCTCTCAAGTGTACTGCTACTTAAGTTGTCATCAACTTCAGGATACCAGGTTTGGCAATAATCATAGCCTCACCCATGTTCCAAGAACAAATAAAACAAAAATCAAAGTCCTCCAAACCATTCATCAATACTCGGAGATCTTTCTGCACGGGTATCAGTAGACCACAGTCTCCAGTAAAACAGGTCTAAGACTGCATCAACTAATCAATTGAACCAACTAAAGAAGAGAGAGTGTTGAAAATTGGAAAAGCAAGAAATAAGCTTAACGTTACAGACTGATGGCCTTTCATTAGAATAGAATTGGGAGCTGTTTGGAATTGAACAGAAGGAAGCAAGTACTAAGCCTGGGAAAAGAAGAGTAGAGACAAGAGCAAAAGGAGAAATGTTGGAGTGATTAAATGACTAAAGGGATAACGGTTGAAGCTAAAGAGCATTTTATTAGGATTAGCAAAGAAAGCAGAAATAAAAATGGAAAATGCTAGAAATACCCAGCATGTCCAGCAGCATCTGTGGAGGTAGAAGAGAGGTAATGATTCAAATAGATGACCTTTCATCAGAATAGAATTATTCCCTTTGAATCAAAAGTCATTGACCTGAAATGTTAACTCTATTGCCCCACTGGCACTGCCAGACCTGCTGAATCTTTCCAGTATCAGAGATATAGATAGAGTAGACAGCCAGAGACTTTTTCCTAGGGTGGAGGTAGCTTTTACGAGGGGACATAGTTTTAAAGAGAAAAAGGGAGGTAGATATCGGGGAAACGTCAGAGGTAGGTTCTTTACTCAGAGTGGTAGGGGCATGGAATGCATTGCCGGAGAGGGTAGTGGAGTCGGCCTCATTAGGGGCATTTAAGCGGCTATTAGATCGGCACATTGATGATAGTATAAAGGTAGGGGTGGAGGTTAGATAGACCTTCGGTTTCGGGTAAAAGTTCGGCACAACATCGTGGGCCGAAGGGCCTGTAATGTTCTATGTTCTATGTTCTATGTTCAGTATTTCCTGTTCTCACGTCAGATTTCCAGTATCCACTGAATAAAGAAATAACAAAATTAAGCAGTATCTGCACTTGCTGTCTGAAAAGATGGGAGCAGTATTTATGATTGAAAGTTATTTAAATCAGTTTTGAGGCGGGGAGCCTGATCAAAAATGCTTGCGGTTCCATTGAGTATACTCGAAATGTATGAGGCAGTGAACAAGTGAGGTCAGAGTGGGAGAGGGGTACAGAATGAAAAAGGACAAGCAAGTGAAAGCTCAGTAACATGCAGACTGGGTCTTTTAGCAAAGTGACCCCCAGTCAACTAACTGCAGCAACTTGGGAAGAAAGGCCTTTTAAACGCTGGTTGGAAATCATCTATAGGTAAGAGTAAACTAGATTATTTCTGAAATAATGTGGATGGTTTAAATCAGTTGATGGTGCCAGGGAACACTGTTGGTGATGTTACCTAAATTCTGGCAAAAGTCAGATGGCATTGAACCTTAAATGGATATTGGCTTGACTGGGTATATACTGTCATCTAATTCTGTCAACCTAACCTTCTTTCTCCCTTACTTGCTTATCTAGCTTCCCCTTAAATGCATCAATGCTCTTTGCCTGAATTACGCACATGGTCAGAAGTTTCATATTCTAATCACAGGTACGACAAATGAACGCCTGAACTATGAACCATTAAGGTTAATGGATTAGAAATGTCAGGGAGGAGCACAGCTTAATCTCCAACTGTGAATCACTAACAGATGCTGTGGAAGTTTAAAGCCCTTAACTCTTCAATGTCAGGCGACTGTAATGAATTATTCTTTAGAACACTAAAGCAGAATACATCTACCTATCTATACTGTATTGAGAGCCTTGGGTGCAGCATAGCCTTAGGGTAAGTTCACAGGTATGTCCCATCTCCCATTGCACTGTTGATAAACAATTTCTTTATAAACCAGACCTGCTGACTGACAGAGAGAACTCCTTGGTAAGTCAGCTAGCCCTTCAAGAAAATACATGAAAAGTTTCAAATTTGTTTTTTTTTCTTAAACAGCACAGACACAGGTTACTTGCTCCAAGAAGTCTACGCCAATAATCCACTTAAGCCTCCTCCCTTCAGCTACTGTCATCAACATATGCTTTTATGTCATTCACCTGAACACAGAATGCATGTCAAAGTGAGTGAGCAAGCAAGGTATCTCAGGTTGTCATTGGTAATGGTGGTAATGGTCCTTGTGGGACCATCGGCATCTCTCTCTAAGTGGTCACACAGCTTGATGTATACCAAATGGGAATAAGCAAGGAGACAGGTTACCGCAAACTTTCATGGCCAGGACGCGGATTGAGCCTGTTGTATTGATAATGTTTCGCAACATACTCAAGCTATCTAGCCAGCTGAACTAACTGACACCTACATGTTGCAGGTAAATGGCAGCTAATGGCCTGCAGCTGTAAGCAGTTTAACTCCAAATGCAGGCTCCTGACTTGCCTCGAATGCAGGCTGCTGGAGTAAGTGCTCAGGTAGAGCTGGTCAGTGTGTGCACTTCTTTCACAAGTACACAGACCAGCATTTACCATGAAGCTGACTTTAGTTCTGAGCACATGGACAGCTCCCTAGATCACCAAATCCACCAGTACAGAAGGCAGTCATTAGGCCCAACAAGTTGCATTTATGTAGTACACTTAACATAGTAAAGAACTCGTGGTGTTTCACAGGAGTATGTGTCAAAATAGGTTTGAAGTTTACCATGTAAAGACATAATAGGATAAGTGACCAAAAGTTTGGTCAAGAGTAAGTTTTAAGAAATATCTTAAATAAGGCAAAAGGAAGTAAGAAAGGAATTCCAGAATTGAGGACAGAGACAGCTGTAGTTACAGTCACTAATGATAAAACAGGAAAGTCGAGTTGAGGCCAAGATGAGATTGGCCGTGATTGTATCAAACAGCAGAGCAGGCTCGAGGGGCCGAATTGTCTTTGTCTACTCCTGCTCCTGCTCCTGGTTATGTTCTAACAAAGAAAACAGAGGGTACAGGGCTCCTGATGGATTGTCGAGCTGGAGGAGATAAATAGAGATATACAGGGGGTCAAATGGAGGAATCTGAAAACACTGCCAATTTTAAAATTAAGACATTGTGAACCGGGAGTCACTGTAGGCCACCGAGCAGGATTTGGTCCAAGCCGAGATATGGATGGCAGAGTTTAAGATGAGCTGAACGTTATCAAGGGTTGAAGATAGGAGGCCAGTGGGAGAGCATTAGTAATTGCTGATGGAAACAATGGATTGTGGAGACTTGATGGAAGCATTTTTCCAATTGTGTGTTTCCTGCCATCCCCCTGTAATCTCATGAATTAGAGTCAAACAGTCATACAGCACAGAAACAGACCCTTCGGTCCAACTCATCCACACCAACCAGACAAACTAATTTGACCTAGTCCCATTTGCCAGCATTTGGCCCAGATCTCTCTAAACCCTTCCTATTCATATACCCATTCCAGATTCCTTTTAAAATGTTGCATTGTATCTGCCTCCACCATTTCCTATGGCAGCTTGTTCCATATGTGCCCCACCCACTGTGGGAAAAAGTTACCACTCAGATCCTTTTTAAATCTTCCTCCTCTCACCTTTAACCTATGCCCTCTAGTTTTGGACTCCTCCACCCTAAGAAAAAGAATTTGGCAATTCACCTGATCAATGCCCCTCATGATTTTCTAAACCTTTGTAAGGTCACCCCTCAGTCTCCAATGCTCCAGGGAAAAAGCCCTAGCCTATTCAGCCTCTCCCTATCGCTTAAATCCTCTCGTCCTGGCGACATACTAGTAAATCTTTTTTGCACCCTCTCAAGTTTAACAACATTCTTCCTATAGACGGGCAACCATAATTGTATGCAGTCTTCCCAAAGTGGCCTCACCAATGTCCTGTACAGCCCAACATGCCATCCCAACTTCGATACTCCGTGTTATGACCAATGAAGGCAAGTGTGTCAAACGTCTTCTTCACCACCCTATCTACCTGTGACTCCACTTTCAGAGAACTATGTACCTGCACTCCAAGGTCTCTTTGTTCAGCAACACTCCCCAGGACCATACCTTTAAAGTTTATACGTCCTGCCCTGGTTAGCCTTAGTAAAATGCAACACCTCATGTTTATCTAAATTAAAGTCCATTTACCACTCCTTAGCCCATTGGCTCATCTGATTGAGGTCCTGTTATATTCTGAGATAATCTTCTTCACTGTACACTATACCGCCTCTTTTGGTGTCATCTACAAACTTACTAACCATACCTCCTAAATTCGCATCCAAAATTATTTATGTAAATGAGGAAAAGCAGTGGACCCAGCACTGATCCTTGTGGCACACCACAGGTCACAGGCATCTAGTCCAAAATACAACCCTCCCATCACCACCCTCTCTCTTCTACCTTCAAACCAATTTTGTAACCAATTGTTTAGCCTCCCTGGATCCCATGTGA